AAATAAAATAAATAAAGGGCTGGGGACGTAGCTCAAAGTGAAGGCTCTGAATTCAATCCCCAGCAACAATCAATCAATCAATGAAAGAGCTGTAAGGAAGCTCACTTGCTCCTTTCACTATGTGAAGATAACAAGAGAGGCCTCAAGCTCATTGTCCTCCCCTCCTAAATGCTGTAATTACAGGAATGGGCCTCTGCTTTCCTTCCATCCATTCTTCCTTCCATTCTTCCTCAGTACTGGGGATTGAACCCAGGGTATTTATGCTAAACTACATCCTCAGCCTGTATTAATTTATTTTATTTTATTTTTTGGTGCTAGGGATCGAACTCAGGACCTTGTGCTTGCAAGGCAGGCGGTGGAACCACTGAGCTAAATTCCTGGCCCATTGTATTAATTTATTTTTGAAAATAAATAGCCTCACAAAATTGCCCAGGCTGAGCACAAAATTGCCCAGGCTGAGCTTAAACTTTTTTGTTTGAAGACAGGGTCTTGCTATGTAGTTCAGCCTGGCCTTAAATTCATGGTAATCCTCCTGCCTTGGCCTCTCAAGTGCTGGGGTTACAGGCAGGTGCCACCACCACTTATTTTTAAATAAGATCAGTGTTCTTAATTTTTACTTGTATTTTGAGATTTGGGTCTCTCAATTTGCCCAAACTGGCCGAAAATTTCTGGACTCAAGTGATCCCCTTGTTTCATCTTCCTGGGTAGCTGGAACCACAGATGCACCATATTCACCCACCTAGAATAGATTTTTATGAGTATTTTTTTCTCCCTCTTTCTTTCTTTTCTTATCATTTCTGACAGTGTAGTGTCATTGTTGCTGTGAGGTGCTGAGCTGTGCCAGTCTATCAAAGGCAAGTTCTTTTCAGTACCCAAAATGTAAGTATTTGTACATCTTTCTCTGTTTCTTTTAAAGTGATCCTCTTTATTTGAGTGTAGTTTGGTTACATTTATATTACAAATATATACTACTTGGGCTGTCTCCTCCTACTGTATTTTATTATTATTATCATGTTTTTGTTATTATTATCATCATTGTTATTTAGCTCCCTGCCCCTACACTTTATTTTAAAGAAAAATAACTGTTAACACTTCAGTGGTTACCTTGTGCCAGTCATGGTGCTAAGCATATAAAAGATTGTCTCATTCAACCTGAGAACAACTCTTTGGAATTGATACTATTATTATTTCATTTTATAGATTCTGAAGAGATTGAGTTATCAACCTTAATTAATGTGCTCAAAGGCAAATGGGTACTTAAATTCAGTTGAATAGGGCTAGGCATGTAGCCCAGTGGTAGTGCATCTAGCAGGCTGGAGGCCTTGGGTTCAAACCCCTGCATCACAAAATATTCCAGCTGACCAATTTCAAAAACCATGCAGGAGAACTGTCTCAAGTTCAAGGCCAGCTGAACTGTGAAGCAAAACCCTGGGTCAAAACAAAACAAAAACCAAATAAACAAAAAAAAAATTAAATAATTCTGGGTACTTATACTGAAGAAATACATCTTTTTTTTTTTTTTTTGGTACCGGAGATTGAACTCGGGTCCTTGCTCTTGCAAGGCAGGCGATGGAACCACTGGGCTAAATCCCCAGCCTGAGAAATACTTCTAAATGGAATGAAGACTGTGTAGTGAAGGAGATATATATATATATATATATATATATATATATATACACCCATATATATAATTTATTCTCTTTTTTAATAGTGCTGGGTATCAAACCCCAGTCTTTATGTATGGTAGGCCAGTGTTCCACCATTGAGTTACTTCCCAGCCCTTTTAATCTTGAAACCATTTCTCTTTGTTTTTTTCTAGTATCGGATTGAACTCAGGACCTTGCGCTTTCGAAGCAGGTGCGCTGCCAATGAGCTAAATCCTCTGGATTGCTAGCCATTTACCTTTTGAGACAAGGTCTCACTAAGTTGCCCAGGGTGCCTCAAACTTACAATCTTCGTGCCTCAGGGTCCCCAGTAGCTGAAATTACAGGAATGGGCCACCACACCTGGCTTGGGGTATATTTTTTATTGTGAAAAATAAGAACCAACATAACTGTCCACAAATGAACTATAGTGCATGGGTATTGAGGAATGACTTGCTGCACATAGTCTAGCAGTGATGTCAAACCTTTTAGCGCTTTCAATGATACAAAAAAGCCCACTGCAGCATACATGCCATAGGTTGGCCTAGGGCCTATGATATAGAACAAACTTTAGTA